TCACAAAGCACAACCACCAAATCCCAAGCCTTGAAGTCATTACCCCCCTCCTACTCCTCCTCATAATCCAACTGTATCACTACACCTCTCATTTGAGGTGGTCACCCTTTTCGAGGGGTGAGGCGTCACCTTTGTAGGTGTCACTTTGAAGGCACGAAAACACGACAATGCCGATTATGTGCATCGAGTAGCTCAATGTGCAACACATGGAGTATTGGGTGGAGAAGTGTCGACTGGAGTAGGGAGTTGTGCTAGAGCATACTTGCTCTACCTTGACAGCATGAAGTCAAGTCGTGTGGATGGGTTATGACTATTGGTCGTCTCAACCAGTGATGGGATGGAGGAAGGAGAGATTATTTTGGTGTCAGCAACAAATCAACCTCAATGCCACCACAATCGCATGCCATGAGGCAAGACAACTGACTATTGACATGGTGAGTTGGGAATGGGCATTAGATCTGTTGACAAAGGTAAATTGGATTGGGACACACGTCTTACGACTACAGTTGTATATCGATGGCGGCTGCTTCCTGAAGGCGAGTATGCGGCTGAGGATAACCTCACCTGCTCAATCGGTCACGTGGAGTGGTAAGGAAGCACAACATTGCGTAGACCAATGCTGATGGGCTCAGAGGCTCTTTGGAAGGACGGAGGTGCGCAAGTGGAGGTGTGAAGAGTGGGAAGAGGCTGAGGGGGTAGAGGAGAAGGGGGAGGGATGCGAGGTGGAAAGGTGCCGTGACAGATGGTGCATTGGATAAACAGGTGGGGTGTGACCTCAACACCACGTACACGCGTCGTCTTCACTGCACATTTGGGCGGTCACGTCGTCGGTCACTCCCAGTCCCAATGTCTCGCCATGGCTGAGGTTGTAAATGGAAGTGTGTCAAGCGGCTTATTTGGGTGGCTTTAAGCTTTCGGAGACCTACCTCAAAGCAGCTCAGACTCCAATCTTCTTGTTTCCGTCATCTCGCACGCTAAACAGCTTCTTGGCACTGCGTCTCAGACACGTTGTGTTGAGTGAGGCCTTGGAGTGTGTAGGAGTAACATTAAGGTAGCTTTAGTATTTTCGGTATTGACCGGCAGGATCGATGGATGGCGCAGGTATTACTTTTGCAGATTTTTTGGTTTTTGAATTACTTTTTATTCTTCGAAGTTGTTTATTCGTGGTCGTTGGGTAAAGTCATTGCACGCCGTCTCATATCGATGTGTTATTAAGGCTTCGGCCTCAAGCTCCTTTGTTCGCTACCGCAGGGATAGCGGAAGTGGAGGCCTTCAGCCAGGATGATGGAACTGTGGCTACAGTTTCATTGGATCTTGCTCCTCGTTAGACCTTATATCCCACTATTTGCAAGTACCATGTGATGTGTCTCCCGTTTTATGTCCCTTGGCGTGCATGAGCTGCTTTTATGAGTTGCATTCCTTAACCTTTCCGGATATTCTTGGAAAGATAACTTTGTTTCAATCACAAAAGCATTTGAAACAAATCCAAAAACTCATCTTGACTTAATGATTCTTCCGTAAGCGAGAATCCCATGACGCTTGCTTAATGCGTGTAAGTAATGTCGACATTGGAAAATTCTAGCATGCTGTTTCCTCTGAACGCTAAAGGGTGCAATTGCTAACACACTGGGAACCATTACCAAGACTGACCGATAAATCTAGGCGACTACCTTTTCTGTCGAACTTTGCTGCCTAGCAATGATTGGAATAACATTGTGTTTATAGATGGGTTTTATGAGTGCTGTACAAGGACAAAGGCCTTAATGTTGGGATGTCAAATTGCGGTGCAATTTGGAGCGTTGTTGGTAATCCAACGCGTAGTTGTCAAAATATCGATGATATAGCTTCACGATTCAGTTGATTCGCTGTTCTCATTACTTTCTAGAAGTTGAACCATTGCATGCTGTTGCATTGATGGCTATTTCCGCTAGTACTGCCCGAGTTACTCCATTCCAATGGATGTCAAAAGGAGAAGGTCGAGGTGAGATCAGAATTATGTGTACGGGATGCAAAGCATGAGGATGTAGTTAGAGACTGAATAAACTTGAGCCACTTAATTTTTTATCGCCTTAATTTGACTGTTAGTGGAGTGGAGATGGAGATGCAAGCGCAAGATGGTATGAGTATTATTTGGACAAATTTTAGCTGCACTTAGCGGTCATAGTCAAAATAAAGCGGTTCCGGTTTCCTTCGACTGCTTTCTCCATTCTGCTGAATGTAGGCATTCAATGAGTGATCATCTTGGAGAGTCTTGATACTCATGCAATTTATGCCGTCAACCGAATAGCTTGATGATGAGCCTCACAAATATTGTAGCAATAAGTAATCCAGTAACCAGCTTTGAAAAAATTCAAAGTAGATAGTCATTTCTATTGAATGCATTGAATGAGGTATTTTTGGAACAACTACTTGGCATTCTTTTAAACTACGTCCAAATCGCAATTCCATGTGAATAACGTTTGTCGTAAGCTGTTCAATCTGTTGTTCCCCTTTTTGTGTTTGTACAGGGCTGAAAATGAAAGGGGAAACATAAATTAGAATAGCTGTGGGAAGTAGAATTTCGCGACTCTTGTGTGGTGTTGTTCGCCTTCCGTCATCTGGTCCACAGGTAGCACACCTCCACCTCCTAGATTTTAAAAACCTTCCTTCCCACTTCTCCTATTCTCTCTTCTTCTTTGTTTACACTACATTTAATCTTGCTCAGTGTGCATGTATATGCATTGTGAGATTTATTCCGGGAGGTCATGAACTCGCTTACCTGGAGGCGAGTAAATAAACATTTCTTAAGGAACCAAACCACAGCGGTGGAGGTTTTAAAATTACTACCTAAACAATAATCTGGCTTTTCAATAAGTAGTGTATGCATGATTATTAAATGGCCTTCTCATTAATTGTCACCAACGCCTCCTATATTGGCGCCTTTCGTGCTCTACGCCTCAATGTGCACTGTGCTCCCCGTTATGTGCCTACAGCTTCCCCTACACACGTTCAAGTAGTGGACGGTGTTCTGTGGGATGACTGGATTGCGTAGAACAGACATCGGTGCTGATACTTGCAGTGCCTTGGATCAGCAAACTTTGAATTTCAATATTTCAGCATTTACAATATCTGCAAAAGGCGAAGTGTTGACCTGAGGATTGTGAAGGACAACAAATGGTTAACCTAGTCACAAATGTCTCAAGGATGAACGGAAACCTTAATTTTGAAGCAAAAAGGAAAAAGTACTATGCGATATCGAAAACAAGGCATCAAAGCAGTCATCAACATGAAAATTTGATGCGTGAGACATTTAGGTTATTGACAAATGCACGTAACAGGTGTGAACATACTTCTAAGTCACTCGTTTCTTGCTGCTTGGATAAAGTGGGAAAATCGAGATATAGAGTGCCTGAGAAGTTAGCACATCATTTTTACGGCAACTAAAACTTCGCCAATAAAGCGAGAGCGTGTGTAAGTAGGATAAATAAAAACAATTTAAAACTGGCACCTCCGATATACTTTGACGTACCGTTTTTTAAAAGAGGTAGTGACACATTAGGACAGTCCATTACTGCAATGTACGGTCTGTCAAAGGTAACCATTAAAAAGCTCAAACTGTATACGAATTTGAGTCAAATGGAAAAATTGACAAGAAAACACATTACAACAAAAGATGTTGGAGACAACCAAGAGTAAGGTACCACCACAGGTCTTGATGCACAAGAAGAACGCGAGCTGCGATGCGAAAAATCTAACACATGGAGAGAAAGATATAAAATTCCTTACTGGGGTCCGAACCACATTGCAATCCCAATGGCATCGAAAAGGTTCAATCAAGGAATGTCACAAAGAAATATACTGCACCCCACCAGTTGCACTAACACAAACGCAATCAAAAAACCACCACAGCCTCGGATACTCCATCTTCACTATTCTTGCTCAAACAGGAGGCACACAAATTTCGCATTGCCGGTCAATTATTCATGCTCCATTAACTTACACGAGGGTGCGTCCGAG